ACATTGATTTTTATTCACTCAATATTGTGAACAATATTTTCTTTCACACAAATCAAGAACATTCTATTTCTTCAAGTAAAAGAATGCAGCGAATTCTCGTAGTATTGGTTGATTGATACTTAGTTTGGATAATAATTTCGTTCAATTTTAAACAAGGAAGTCATATTTTTGTTTGACATGTTCATCTCTTATATGGAAACTTTATTTATTTTTCTCTTATAAATTGATAATGATCGATGATTAATCATTCATCTTTTGCGCTCACGAATTTTTCTGCATTAACATTCTCTTTGAAATGACTTCATCGGAAGCATCCTAGATCGTTTCTAATCAATTCATCAAAAAATGAATCAACAGAAACGAATCGTGGGTGTGGGTGAAGTTCTAGCAGGAGTGAAGCAGAGCAGCAGAATCAGAAAAGTTTTCTAAGGTATCTTTAACAAAGTCTTTGGAACCAATTGAAAAAACTCGTAGGTGAGCGCAGGAAGCAAAATACTCGATTTTGTAAAAGCTGACATAAGTATGCTAAGATTGTAGTGCACTGTCGACTTAGTAATGTCATGTGTTTGTTCTCAAAAAAATCTGCCAATATTTGTTCAATCTGGTATCAGATATTCGTATAATACGGAAATTGATAGATAATCAGACCGTTTCAAATTCATTTTGTTAATTGAATAAAACACATGATATTTCGAATCGACAATGCTCTACAAGCCTAGCATACTTATTTTCACTGTTCAAAATCGACGATTTTGATCCCCGTACCTATCTATCGGTTCTTCGGTTTGGTTTTGATGACTTAGTTAGAGAACCTCTCGAAACTTTTGCGGCTTGCGCTGTGGAGTTTCTAACTGTACCGGTAGTTTATCGTAAAAATTTCAGCCCGTCTATCGATCAGCGAGATAAGTTGATAGTTTCTTAATGGCAACATATCAGTGACATCCTATCAAGGGATATTTTTGACAATACACGAAATGACGTGATCGATACAGGGAATAGCGATACATAGCAATGAGGGGACGTGTGGTACCTGTAGAACTGTCAGGAGAATCATTGAGACCTAGGAAGAACAACAGTACGGATACATCAGATGACAAGAAAATCAACGTTTGTGTTTGAAATTCGTTCTTTTCTGAGCTCACCCCTATCGTTTACTATTCGACTTCTAATATAATTTTTTTTTCGAAAAATTCTGTAAGAGTCTGATGTTATGACTCATGACCGAGATAAGCAGCGAGATGTAATACAAACAGAACGGAGAAAAAGATACCCTTTCACGTGACTCGAACCATGGACCTTCTGCTTATCGGGTAGACGCACTACCATTATACTAGCAGGGATATTTCATCTCCGTTTTACGGACGTAGGAGAACACTACGGATATAACAAATTCCTTCTCAAAATTCTTCTTTTCTGTGACTCCGCACTACGAACATTGAATTAAGAAGATTCGTTTCAACAACAATTATAGATCATAATTTACATTCAATATTAATCGAACAAAAATTTCGTATTTAAGATAATGATGAAGAAACAAATGATATTGAAGTCAAGAAAACAAGATAAAAAAATTTAAACAACATATTCAAATATGTATGAAACATTTAAAACAATTAAAACAATTAAATAAATAAAATCATTAAAAACTAGCTTAAATGAATGAATATGAATCAATATTGATAATCTAGATCATCCAGTAGTTTATTTGTAGGGCAGAACTTTTTTAGCGTGTTTCAGACTAGAGTGCTGTCATATAATAGTCAAAGAAGATCCGTGCCACAAATGATTCTTTATCATTAATCTAATATTGAAGTTCAAAATTTATTCTTGTTATCATAAAAAAAAAGAAACTCAAAGATAAAGATAATCTTCATTTGAAAAACCGATAAAGATCTAAAATGAATTTTTTTCTTACAACAAATTGATAAACTTTGTTTGATATTAACGTTATCAGAAACAAATTAAAGCTAAATCAAGCAACAAAAGAAATTGAACTTGGTCCAAAAACAAATAGAAAAGATTTCAAAACTTTCTAATAATAAATGAAATGTAATTGACTACTACGTTCAACGATAGCTATTTGTTCACTTTGTATTTTATATCTTCTGATAAAGAGATCGTTTTTGTTGATACATCTAACTTTATTTATTGTTTTATTTTGCCAAATGATAAATGAAACTTTGATTTTTATGTTCCATTTAATAACAGAACAAGATTGTATTAATTTGTTTTTTTTTTAATTAAAACTATCCTGAAAATTTATCTTTGTTTCAATCTATATTAAGAATAATTAGTAGCTGTAGGTTAAATGTATTTTTCTCCTTATTCACTTTCTTATACATCAATTAAGTGATATTACAAGTTGATTTATCAAAAATAGAGATGTTGTATCAGATACGTTTATGAATCAATGTTATTCGTTAGTTTTAGTATGTCAATTCAATAATTAAACATATTCTTGTCTTCTATGATCTCATTCACTGTACAACTTAAAATTCCGTATAAAAGTATAATACTTGTTAAAGGGTGTGGGTGTGTGTGGGGTGCGGGTGTTGGTGTGAGGGTGGGGGTGTGGGTGTGGGTCGGTGTGTGTGGGTGAGTGTAAGTGTCGGTGTGGGCGCGAGCATGGGTGCAGGTGCGGCAGAGTACAAAACCCACACTCACACCCACACCCTGCGCACACAATGAGCTTTGAAACAAAATATGAAATGGTCAAAATTAAAAATCTGCTTTCGGACGACCATTATTTATTTGGACGGTCCTTTTGTGAAGTCTCTTTAATGTTTCTCGATTGTGTTTCTCATCTTTAGCGTCAAGACGAAAATTTTATCATTAATGCGCGCGTAGGTCTTTGCTCATTTTAACACAGTCCATATCGATGCCCGAGTTTAATCTGTGACTACCACGACCTACTACTGAATACCCATGATGATAATAAAATGTCTCAGCATTTAGTGAGGCATCCAGATGCAGTTTATGTGCACCGTGTAGTACAGCGAGTTTTTCAAGAATTGCTAAAACCTTCGTTCCAACACCTCGACGAGCAAACGCTGGATCGACATAGACTGCGCGAAGCTCTCGTTGGGAGGGAATGACGGAACCGAATCCGACAATCATATCGTTCTCACTCGACACGGCGACCATAATTAGTTCTTCGTTGTTTTGTATCGCCTGATGCAATTGGTTGAGACGGCGTTCATCTGTGGCTGAAGACGACCAACTTTGAAGAATATTTTGTGTATAGAAGGTTGAGGTTGCTGGTCCGTGAACAGCGGCATAGTGAACACGGAGAATAGCTGCAACATCGGAGATTGTGGCAGAGCGAAGGTTTATCATGAAGAGTGAGGCTATTATTATTTTTTGTGACAGTGCGAGAAAACGGCCGAGATAAGAATTGAAAAATGAGGGAATAGAATAACATCTATATGCTGTGTCTCGCTCTTTATCATTTACGACACTCGTTGAGGTTCTTCCTTCGATAAAAAATAAAAATTACTTTGTGATATTCATCATTTTGAATCACAAGTAGTTTGAAATGCCTTATGAATGTAATTGCTATGTCGATAGAGCGTAATATTCTGCATTTCTTTTTAAAATACGACACTGAAAAGTTGTCATAACTTCTATTATTTAATATTGATAAGCCACATTTTCTATGCGTTTTAGTTAGGTTTAAAATTTGTTGTGGATACTATTTGAAATCAAAGCGTTATCTCCAAGAAAAAACATTTTTATCCAACCTGTACAGATTTTCAGAGAAGAATATTAGAAAGTAAAATCTGCAAACATTCAACATTGAAATTTTTTCAATGAAAAGAAGGTAGGTACCCCGATTTGTCTCAAGATGTCGCAAAAATCAAATCTGAGTCAATTATTGTCCAGCCTTTGGTTTAGAAAAACGTGGATTTCGTCCAAATTAAAATCGATTCAAAATGACAACTCTAATAGATTAATGCCTTATTAGGCTTTGTAATGTCATTAATCGTATCGGTTGCACAGAAAACATACACTTAGATATGGTCTCATGGAAGAGAGAGAGAAATAGAAAATGAAAGATATGACAGACAGGAAAGGCATGCATATATTGTCACAATCGAATATCATTACAAAGAAGAGTCAACACTAAAAAAATGAAGAATTGACTGTTGATGTTAATTAATCGTTGTTGTTGTCCATTCAATCGTTTGGCTAGACTGAGCAAGCATATCCATATCGAGACCATACATGATTAAAATCTAGAAACGAAATATTTTTATTCACCAGTGGATTCGTTATTCGTAAAGCTTCTATTTTGATAGTGTGGCTTGAAACTATTGGCATAGTCGATCAATTATTTTGCTTTGGAATCGACAGTTCAAGAAACTTCTCACAAATAGTTGTCGAATAATTGCAGTAATCCAAAAAATGGAAGTTGCTCAACTCGAAGCTCGTTTTTTTTAGCGAAAGGCGGAGTACATATGTCGGATGTTATCAAATCTGACTTTTGATTCATTGTTTAACGGATACATGTTCCTGATCTATAGTTTTTAGTGACTTATACTCAAGTTGCATTTTCAGAAACATTGAGTTATTTAGTATTAGTAAGCAAAGGTTTTTTTATAATTACTAAGTGAATGTACGGAACTGTGTGCTCTGAAGCAGAATCAACAGTTGTAGGTACCCAACGAAAAATCCTTAGCTTAAATGACATACTTGATCGGAAATATCGTGCAAAAAGTCCTTGTGATCCTTTCCATTTACAGTGACACTCGTCACCACTTTGCTAACACCGAGAACTCGAACAAGTTCCAAACGCATCGGTGAATCTTTGTAATTCGCTATGATTGTATTGATGGTCAAGATGTTCTATTCAGTAATAAACATCTAACATACAGTTTCTCTTTCAGTCGCTCTACTCACCAGAACGCATGAAAATTCCAAGTAGTTGTAAGCTTTTGCTTCGATCGTGTCTTAATAAGAAATAAATAAAAATGAGTTCGATTGATATTATTATTGAAGATTTACTCACCAATGGTATCACCATCATCCCAAAAGAGATTTCCAGTCGCATTTTCCGATGCTGATTGAGCAATAAGTAAAGTAAATGGATTTCCACGACTAATCATTAAATTTGACCCGGGTATTTGCATCGGAATGATAAAACCCCCTCGAACATGAACATTTATCTTTTCCAGAGGAGCATATAGATCAGTAAATACACCGACAGCTTTCACTTTAACACCTGATGGAAACTCATACCAAACATCTTGTGGAATATATGCATGCACTGTAGTTGTTTGCTAGAAAAGTTTTGAATGTAAAATAAGAAGGATAGAGAATCATATCTACTGAAACAAGATTTGGTGAAACAAGAATGGCACGACCAATTAAAAATTGTTGATCGACGCCGAGTGTTTTGTTGTCATTGGGAAATCTAAGAGATTCATCTAGTTTGAAAAAAGACAAAGAGTCAGAAATAGGGTACTCAAAATGAAGTGGTTGCACTAGAGTTTTTGACAACGTCGCTGCTTGATAATGAAGAGTGTACCAGAATGGAGACAGTGAATATCGCATTAACAATGCTTGTTTCATGATCTGTTGACTTGTCCAAGAGAATGCAGCAGGATCTTGATCCTATATGTGTTTTATAAAGAAATCAGTCAATGATGTCATTCTGGTCTTGAACGCACCTTATCACCGGCAGCATTGTGATTCCTCATAAAAGGATAGAATGCACCCAATTGCATCCACCGTGTGCATAATTCTTCAGTTGTATCATGAAAGAAACCACAAACATCGACACCGACATTGGGTATACCGAACATGTTGAAACTGAGAATGGCTAGACAACAAACAAAGAATAGACATGAGCAATTGGACTGTGCATTTTCTCTTCTTTAGAAAATTCTCGATCGATCTTTGCGTGCGAGAAAAAAACAGGAAAAACTTTGGTTTTCCTCTTCAAAATCTGGTTTCGAGATAAAGGAAAAACAAAAACTTTGTTCCGTTTTTTTTAGCACAGTTTTTCGGTTTATTTACATCTCTTTTGGAGGTATAAATGTAGATTTTAATCTCGAAATGTGTACATCAGTTAGCAAACATTTCGATCTATGTAATGAATGAAAGTAATGAGAGAATCATTTTCCCACTATCTGATGGTTTTCAATTCTAATAAGATCTTCGTTTCATTCAAAAAGCAAAGGTTATGACTGTCTAAAGATATAGAGGATAAAACGATTAATATATGTTTAAGCAAGGTCGAGTCATTTTTTTTCGTATTCTTCTGTATCCTTAAACGAAAAGAAAATCTATTAGAGTCAAACCGGGATTCGTCTTCTTTCATCTGCACATTATGAATATGTACCTGGAATTGAAAAGTACATATCTTCGAATGTTGCGCGATTATCACCAGTCCAATGTGCAGCGTATTGATCCGAGCCGGGAAATGTCGAACGAGACAAAACGAATGGTCGTTTGTTTCGAATTGCTTTCAGTGCACTAGAACGTAAAATAAATCAGTCACTTGAAAAGTTCGCGGTCAAGCATTTACAGATTGGTCGCTTTTGCTTCGAAATAACCGTACATACTATGCAAATTATAATGGGAAGAACTTCCATGCTGTGCAGATGGACATAATGTTTTTGCACTGAGCGAATTGTCGAGTACATCTTTGAAAAGGTCTCACAATGCTGAGTTCGATATGTTTTGCAACAGACTTACTTGGAACAAATGGAGGTTTATCTAATGAATTATTTGTACAACCATCAATGGAACCATCAACGCCATTTAATGGTTCATTCTTATCCTAGAAAAGAATCTAAATATATAGGTGACCACTCAAACTTTTTATAAATTGAATATGTTTCATGATTTATATTTCGAGTATAAAGATACATGAGAACAACTACTATTCAATCGTTTATCGTTCAATGAATTCTAAGCATGCATACGTACATTCCAAATACCATCGAACGGAATTATATCATGAAATGCAGCAGCAATATTTGTCCACCATTCAATAGTGCTCGTATTGGTAAAATCTGGAAATACTGTCAATCCTAGTCATGAAAATGATGTTGAAGATTAATCAACCGTATCCACCGACCATTCTTACCTGGTGAAACCTAAAATATATCTACGCACATCGATATACTGTTGCATTAACATGAATAAAAGAATACTTGGCCAATAATTAGTTCAGTTGAATTGAATTTAGTCATGAAAATTGCTCTTTTCAACCCATCATCGTACGGTGGATAGGTTCCAGGTGGTTGTGTTGGACTAATACCCGGATCGATAATATTAACATAGTGCTTACCCTCAGACTGCAACGAACGAACAAGATCTGGCAGACCATTGAAATTGGTTGGATCATAGGTAAAATCAAGATTAGACTTCATTGCATCAATATCTGTCCATTGAACATCATATGGAAATTCAGCATCACGCATTCGCTAATAAATAGAATAATAAAACTGACAACTACTAGTTTTCATTTTTAAGAATAGTACCTGGATGACGGTTCGCAAATTGTCGATATTGTTGTATCCCCAACGGCATAGATGAAAGCCAAGAGACCAGTAAGGTGGCATAGCAGGTTTCTAAAATTCAGTAAAATAAATGAAATCAAAGAATCTCTTGCTTTTTTTACTCTGATAACATCCCAATATTGTTGAATGACATCTTGTGCTGTGGGTCCAGTAAATAAATACAAATCGATAATACCTCCAATTGTTGTATAACTAATGGCAGGTAACGGTTGAAGATCAACATCCATCGCATTCGAATTGAGAAAAAAATGTCCATGGAAATTGATTAGTGTATTGCTTGTCATTTCCACATTGATGTGAAATGGATGAACACCTGACAACAAACATTCATCGAATATGGATCATAAAATACTGATGAACTGGAAAATGTCTTGTGTGAATATACTTACCATACAGATTAACGTTCTGAACTGGATATTGATCACGAGTCCAAAAGGTTAACTTTCTCCATTCATTTGTGACATTGATCAATAACGGTTGTCGATGTTCACCAAGACCATAGAGAAATGGACTGGAAAGATAGCTTGAAAATTTGATGAATTGATCAGCATAAATCAGTGGTGATGTACTGGAATCGAATCTGAAATCGAATACATGCAAGCATCTTTTAATAATACAGCAAATACTTTGTACCACTCAGAAGAATGGTTCTCTTACTATACGAAACAATCGTCCTTCGGTCAATTTTTGAGCATAACGACAAATGCAATCCTAATGAAAAATGTACTCACAATGTCACACCGGTTGATTTTCGTTTGACAAGAATAGCAAACGGTGCTTGACTCAGTGAAACTTCGTAATCAGTGACATTAACTTTTGTTTCAACTACTGGAACCTCAAGTGGTACTTCGAAACGTTTCTTCGTTGAATCATAAATTCGTAAACGAAATCGTTGTGCTGTTTCGTAGAGAAGATCAACTGTCAAATTCAGAATTTCATTAGGCATATAGGTTGTTTGTTGTTTAACAATTGTTAATCGTTGGCCAAAAACAGTTGATTCATTAGTTATTATTTTATATGTTGGAAAATCTCGTGGATAATAACAAGAAGGTACGTTAACTTCAAGAGAATTAGTTGAGCGATTTGTCGGTGAAAAGATCGGTTTCCAGCAACAGTAACGAGCCAGGCATTTTTCTGATGATGCAAATGGTTCAGGGTGACAATCGAAACGTGCTGTTTCCACAGATTGATCACATTGTTGTGCAGATACAGACGAGATGAAAAATATTATCATAATCCATTTTATCATGGAAAAATGTGCCATTCAATGGACACTTCTATCTAGAATCGAACGAAGGAGAGTAACAAGAATAGACATACGAAAGTCAGCTACTGTGGAATTGAATGTAAGAAGCTCACTTTTCTTTAACAATATAAATTCCATCTTTTCGAAATTAGATATCTACCTACGATCGAAATCGTACGTTAGACAGTTTTGAAGTGCATGTGTCTAAGTTTTTCAGATACAGCAAGGCCATAGTTTAGATTAAGACTCTAAGATAGGCTCTAAACAACTGCTTGATTTTTAGCTGTCTGAGAGAGAAATAAAAAAATACATCTGTACTGACCACACCGTTACTCTTTACCTGATGATTATTATTAGATTCAACCAAAAAAATCGTGCCGCATAAATTCAATGTATTCTGCCGACTATTTGTGATTCCATGCTTTGAAGCTCAAAACTAGTTCTTCACCGCCTATGTACCGTATATTTAAAGCGATTATTTCAACTAAAAAAAAAACAGTATTTTCTATCTCTCATTCAAGATTGACAGACAGTTAGAGACCACTCTCTATTAGTAAACGAAGATAATTCAAAGTAAAAAATAAAGGTAGATAAGTACATGTTATTGTGCAGATGGTGGTGTGATATTTGCCATTCGAGATAACAGTGTGTAACCTAATCTTTTCGGAGTTTTATAGATCTATGATTAGCAGTTTAAATACACACCTGATAATTGAAATACACTATAAAAAACTCATGAAGTGGGTTTCTTTCCAAAAGGGTCGGTTAGAAATCTTAAAAAACCTGACTAGAACGCTAGTAATATACGATTCGATGTGTCTTCATCTCCTCTTTCCAGCTGTAAAAATAGTAGTTCCCTATTTCGTTTCTATCAAAAGTTATCAAAAAATACTCACGTGTCTTTTTGAAACAAGTATTAATGCAACCGTCACATATCACAAGAAATAGTTTTTTGTTGAAATTTTATTGTTTTGTATTTTCTTGACGGGATATGGCTGTGACTGTGACTATTCTGTGTACTCACACCTATATCCACATCCTGAACTGAGATGTTTCTGTCAATGATTAAGAATTATGAACTGCGAAGATAAGTAAAAATTCAAACTTCTTCTGACAATCTCACAATTCTATTTTTATTCATAGTTTTATCGCCAACATTTCATTCAATTTCTAGTTAATGAAACTGTATTCGAGTGTGCATCAAGTATTTATATTCATTCACATCTGATAGAACTTGATTTCTTTATACGTTTTCCATAAGCGCAGAAATTATCTCGTCAATTGCTACATGTCATATAAAATATATTACAACGAAAATGAAGAAGATCAACAATATTCAAGAAACTCTCAAACATGCTCAACATTTGTTGAATGTCAAATTTGATTCTAGTCAGAAGTTTCATTTAAAGTTCTAGGAGGTCACCGAGTAATTCTAGTCGAAAAGTCGAGACTTTGCACATTTGTGTACAACAAGCTTTGATATATGATTGTCGTTATACTGTGTTACAGTTGTAGAAAATTGAGAGCACTTACATTTTGAATCACACAAAAAGCTACCTCTGCGAAATAGTATCTAGCATCTCTAAAAAGGCGTTAGCTCGATCAACCTAGGAGTCATTGCACGAGAGTCACGATCGACCTTATTTAATCGAAATTTTTGATTTTGATGAAAGTACTCCCATTTTGTAGAGCACATTTTTTAGGCACATACTCAAATTTTTAAACCTAACCGATGAGTTTTAGCTGCGATATGATGATCCTACTGATAGCACCAAAAACAGTTTTTTATCGATTTTTCATTTATTCAAGAATTTTCCCCAAGTCCTTGTCTAAGATGTTACCACAATGTGTCCTCATGAGTATGAGCTATAATTTTGAAAATTTCACCAGGCATACATTTTGAGATGGGCAATACAACCATCGTATTCAATAAAGTCTACATGAGGGTGGATGGATGGGTGGGTGAAGAAAAGAGCATCACCCTCACCCACCCACACTGTAAAAAAATAGGTGTTCTACCGAACTTTGAAGGTTTGGTACTGTTTTACCAAACGATTTTAAGTTCCGTGGTATGACAATCGGGGTGTGGGTGAGTGGGTGTGCGTATGAGAGTTCAATTCATTCTATTCCACACCCACACCCACACCAACCACATACATAACACCCACACCGACACCCGTGCACACACCAACCACATTCATACCACCTACACCGACACTCGTGCCCACACCATCCGCACCCACACCTCACACCCCACCCACACCCACCCTGTATATCTTTTGTTGTGCTGGCGTAATTACTGTAAATATTATCAGCATACTAAAAGAAAAAGATTTCGTAATAATTGTTATTACCATGATGACACATAAAATGTCGCAATACTCCTGATTATGGCAAGTAATTCTTGACTTTTATTTACTACTTGGACTGTTCACAGGTAACATATTAAAGTTTTTATAATTTGTGATTCTGGTTTTGAATCAAACTACTGACACTTTAGGTCCTCGTTTCATTTCATGAACTTAATTTCTTTAATGAATGTCGAAAGTGTTGAAAGGAAAACATTCGACTAACTACCATAATCTATATATCTATAGATAACATGTTTACATGTTCAAGTGTTGTATCTATCTAAAATCATGCAACAAAACGATATAACATTTTGTGGTTGGTAGAAAAAGTGCAAGAGTTGAAAGAATTCTGTGTAATTAGTATATAGTGAAATTTCTAATTTGTTTTAGTAGGAGCACATGGATTAAAAATATTTTAGAGAGGACTTTTGATTTATTGTGAACTCTTTTCTTAGTTATGTCTAATCCTCAAACAATGACAACCAATATTCGTCTATTTGGCAAATGGAGCGCAGCTGAAATTCAAATTTCAGATGTGTCACTCAAAGTATGTTCAATTTGTTTGTTTCTAATAGCACTTGATAGTTTCTTATTAGAATTATATCTTTATTACCAAACAACCTATTTTCCTTCCTCATTCGGCTGGTCATGATCGAACTAAGCATTGCAACAAAGCATTTTATCCAATAGTCGAACGTCTAGTATGTTCACTCATGTTTCACGGACGCAATCAAGGCAAAAAACTAATGGCTATGAGAATCGTACGTGACAGTTTCGAGATTATTCACACACAAACCAACGAAGTAAGCATAAAGTATAAAACAACTGATGTTGGTTCTATCAATAATTTCATCATTCAGAATCCATTTCAGGTGCTTGTCGATGCTATTGTCAATAGCGGACCCCGTAGAAATTCTATAGTTATCGATCGCTTCGGGCTTTACCGACGAGAGAATATTGATGTATCGCCTTTGCATCGAATTAATCAAGCACTCAACTTACTATGCACAGGTAATTAATATCATCTTGAAGGAGTAAACATGGAAAAGGAATATTTGAGTACGTCTAAAATAACTCAACTGTTGTTTTTCAAACACGAATTGTTCGAAAATATTTAACAAAATCTTGATTGGAAATGACAGATTAACGCACAACTTTCCTGATATTTTGATATTTTCATCTATGAAAACTTGAACAACTCTTTCGAAACATGTCACCAAATTAGGAAAGTTATGGCAAGATTTAGCAGTTCCATCAGATTTTAAAAGTTTGCAGAAATGATGTAGAACGCGACAAAAAAATTCAAAAGCAGCATATATTAAAGAAATATGAAAAAGAATCATTGAACATAAGAACTGTATTGTGGATTCTGCAAATCACTCGATTTCTCATGCATTTAAAAACTAGCACAATCTAGTGTCTTAGGAAGATATAATACAATGTATTACTTTATTGCGAATTTCAAATCAAACAACGTATTAGTTATATCTTTATTTTGATGAATACCTATTTTAGGTTGTCGCAATGAGGCATTCAAATCAGCAAAACCAATGGCTGAGTGTCTTGCCAAGGAATTGCTCAATGCTGCTCGAGTATGCTTTTTTTTTTAGGAAAAGGAAAATGAATCAGTACATACGTCTAATAAGGTCTGAGCTGAGTTGTAGAAACATGTGACTCATTAAACGTGTTCGATCATGATGATTCTTAATTCGCAGTTTCATTTCTGCTGTTGTAAATGAAATAAATTTAAAACATTCTGAAATATTTCATTTATAATTTTTCTTTAGAATTCATGCCTTTCGATGGCCATTAAACGAAAAGACAAAATCGAACACTTGCCTCGGCAGTCTGATTGAAAATCTTTCAGTACCATAATGTTGATGTTTGTATGTACAAATAACTGTAGGTATAGATACAAATGGATTCAATAATAAGTTCTAGACATGTAAAGAAAAACCATTTGGAAATAAAAATTTGAAATTGGTTTCATCTCTCTTCCTTTTCTATTTCTAGTATGAATGTGAAGAACCTAGCGTCATGAGAAAACTAATGAAATTTCTATGAAAAAGTTTATAGAAATGAATGAAATGATCAATCTCATTCTTTCATTCTAAATAAGTTTAAGTACATCACTGACACTAGCAGTATGTAACAGGTAGAATGTATACTTTAGTCAGTATTGATGTGCATAAATTTGAAGTAGACTACTGATCTCCAATTTCTTTATTAAAAAATTTATGCTATTAACAAACCATAGTCGAGCCGTGATCTATAGAGCAAATGTCCCTAATATCGACACTTATACAAAATTCAAGCAAAATACAATCTTTTGAGAACAAATAAGTTTTTTACGTCTTTTGATCAGAAAACGAGCAAAGGTCACCTGGGCAATTTTGTACAACATGTCAAGATATATCATAATCTAAAAGTTCATGACAAACGAATTTTTTTATAATTAGTACGATAACTTAAGAGGAGGGTGTGGGTGTGGGTGTGGGTTGGGTGGGTGTCAGAATGAAGAATAAAACGTCCACACACACACACCCCACACTCAATTCGAAAATGAGATTTCGTCGTATTCCTGAGGGAGATCATAGCATTGTTTGAAGAATTACTGTACAAATGGAGCATCTCAGCAGTAATGAGCTAACGGCCTGAAATTGTTTTCAGGGTATCCACAACTGATTAGGGTCTACATGACACACATAGTCTAGGCTTCAAAGTAGTTGAGCATTTGAGAGGTTTCCATCATTAATTTGTTTTTCGAGGAACATTTTTTCAATAGAAAACAAAGTGAATATGAATGTGTTGTTGAAAAAATTGAAGTTTATGATACAATAGCAGCTAGTTGCTTTCTCGAACAGTAATATGAACTTTGTTAAATTTTCGAGTGTTGTTATTTGTATTGAACTTCATTTTTTTGGTTTTACTATTTTCTGCTGATTAAAATAGAATGTATTTAAAAATCAAATTGTTTATGAAATGTGTGGTCTGTCTTTTTTACATTCATTGATTTATTTAATAAAACTATTCTTAACTAAAAAGCAAGTGTTTTTATATTGAATATGCAGGAAGAGGAGAGGAAGGAAGCCGATTTTTACCTAGACGTCTTTATGGATGATTCCATCCTTCTGCTCATGTAAGACTGTATACAATTCGTTTTGCTGTCTTTCTCTTTGCTTTGTATGTCTTGCTAATCATCAACTGGTTGAGGTTATTCTTTTTGTCTTTTCCTTGTAGACAAATAATATAAGAAAATATAATGGCAGCAGCAGTAGCTTCATCGGTCGGCGCTGCCATATCATCTATAATAACATTGATGAGAAAGCAAAGTTTCTGTAACAATTTTGTTCCATTAATGGATTATAATCAAGAAGATTCAACGGGTGGTAATCTTGACTGACCAAATAAACCATTAGCTAAATATATATTTCGTCTTACTAGTCTTAAGTTTTATTTCAACATGTATGAATACACCAAAAAAATTTGAATATCATCCATTTCTTCAATATACAATATTCATCATTGATATAATTTGTGCAATTATATTAACAATTGAAGCGGTTGCAAAAATGAAAATTCGAGGAATATTAATTGATAATTCATTTTATTTACATGATCTATCGAATCATTTTGACGCTATTATGGTTTTAAACATCTATTTTTCTATTATCTTACAAGTAAAATTTTTCAATTGTAGTTTTTTTTGTTTTATTCATAATCTCTAATTTTTCTTTTTGTTTATTAGATGTTCGAAATAATTGGTATTATAAACAAATATTCATATCTTACAATAATTCGTTCACCACCTCCATTTATTCTGATACAAGTTCTCAAAACATTTCTCAAATTTAAATTATCTAAAAGTCAAATTAAATCTATTCTTCAGTATGTTAAGAAAAAAGAAACAATTGTTAATTATGTAAACTTTGGTTTTTTTTAATTTATTCGTTTATTATTTTAGACATTCTAATTCAAAAATTTATAATGTAACAGTGTTTTTTCTATTCTTTATGAGTTTATATACCATATTGGGTGTACAATTTTTTGGATCACTTACATTCCATTGTGTGAGAAATGGTACTGATTTAAAGTATGAGAAAACAAGATTTTTTTGCTTGTTTCTATTTCTTTTTCCGTTTGTTTGTTTAAGTAACGTGACACAGCCAGATCTAATGATACCTGATACATATTGTTCGTCAACAAAAGATGGTTTTCATTGTCCAGAAAATTTTACTTGTAAAAAAATTGAAATTCAACGAAATTTCCGTGGTTATAATGGTTTTGATGAATTAACAACTAGTTTTTTTTCATTTTATGAATCAGCTAATCAAGAAGGATGGGTATTTCTTATGTATCGAGCTAGTGATAGTCTTCCATCATGGCCTGCATTTTTTTATTTTATTACATTAATTTTTTTTCTTGTATGGCTAGTCAAAGTAAGTTTTAAATAGTCTAGAGAATAAAAAAATGTTGCTTCTCGACAAAGATTTAAAACTATTGTCTATTAACATAGAATATAACGTTTTTTAGATTTAATATACGACAAAATTATTTAGGAGTTGCTTCAAGAGTTATCGTTAATTTTATTATTCAATTTTGCGTACAGTCATAAAAAATGTTATTCAATTATATTTTTTTTCTTTCCTATAATTTGACATGAATATATAACATTTTGATAAGCTACAAATAGGATGTACTATGAAGATTTCTCAAAAGACGAATTTTTTTTATTCTATAAAAAAAAGAATATTTTATTTTAGAATGTATTTATTGTCGTTATTATTGAAACATTCGCTGAAATTAGTGTTCAATTCCAACAAATGTGAGGTTCAAGAGGAGCAATATCAAACATTGAAGCAACAAAAGTAGATACAATCTTATTTTGAAACACAAATTTAAACTTAATTTTCATATAGATACTGCAAAAATCTGATAATAGTACATTAAAATTAGTTAATATAGATGAAAATAATAAGAAAGGTGTAGCACCAGCTATTTTTTTTTAAATTGTACAAACTCCCGTGTTTACAACAATTGTCATGCTTGTTGTGCTTGCTAATACAATCTTTACAGCAACTATTAAACATACACATAGTGAAATAATTGATAAAAAAATCGTGAATTTTATCGTAACATTGAGGTAGAAGTAAAATATCCTATTAAAAAAAAAATAAGAAAAAAACTCATTTTCAATAACATTGGTTTTAGACATTATTTACGATATTTTTTGATTTGGAAGTACTTTTTAAAATTGTTTCAATGGGCTTTAGAAATTATATTCGAAGATCAACATTGAAATTTGAATTTATGCTTGCTGTAGGAACAACTCTTCATTGTTTTCCATCATTCTATCGAAGTGGTTTTACATATTTTCAAGTTCTACGTGTCGCTCGTCTACTTGAATCAAGTCCTTTACTTGAAGATTTTCTTCATAAAGTAAAAAAAAAACAAAAGAAAGATGAAATTGTTTCAAAAACAAAAGTTTGTATTCTTTTTATTAATTAAGATTTTTGGTCCGGGTAGAAAACTTAGTAGTTTAATTTTATTTACAATGTGTTTATTATTGATAACATCATCGATTAGTATGCAATTATTTTGTTTTATTAAAGGTCTTGAACAATTTGAAACATTTCCTCGTGTAAGTTTCTTTTTTTTTCTCAATGTTGTATTTGTTCAAAAAAATAAAATAAAATACTTCTTAGGCATTTCTGTCTATGTTTCGTATTGCTATGAATGATGGTTGGACAGGAGTGATGTATTCAGCAATGGACGAAGTTTACGAATTTGGAGCATTCTTTTTATGTCTCACAGCACTTTTCTTTATTTTTTTTCATTCATTAACTAATTCGGTAAGTTATTTTCGAAAGAATGAAATAAGGGTGTGGGTGTGGATCTTCCCTTCACTCACCCACACCCACACCCACACCCACCCTCTCACACCCACACCCTTCAGCCTCAAAAGGGCTGCGGTAGCAGCTTCTTTTATTTTTGATTCAGAGGCTATGATTGACTTGCATGAGTAAAATAAATATTTTCATCGAACACATGACAACAACAAAGGCCTATCAGCTAATAACCGGCAAGCAGCTATCAACAGTATCATGAATGACTGAACGAGAACAGATCATACCATTTGAAAGTACATTGTAACGAGAGCAAACCAGTATGGAGGATAAGAAAAATTAGAAAAAAAAAACAAAAATTTCATTCATATTGTATCTTATTGGCACGTGTTGAACAAAATACTAATAGTGCTTTGATTATAATTGGTTACCACAAGATCCAGTCTACTATCACCGTTTAAGTCGTACACAGCGATCGAGCTTGGACTGCCACCAGCTGGAAACGTCTGATATGAAATAACATTACCTTGACCGTCTCCAAGTAATACGGTCACAGTGTTATCACCCAAGTTCGCAACGACGACATCCGGCTTGCCGTCAAAGTTAATATCGCCAATAGCAACTGATCTCGGATTTGTGCCGGTTAGAAAGCTCGCTTGTCCGATAATGTTGTTTACGCCGTCTCCAAATAGTACAGTCACAGTATTATCACCCGAGTTCGCGACAACGACATCTGGGTTTCCATCAAGATTAAAATCACCGACAGCAACTGATTGTGGATTTGTGCCAGTTGGAAAGCTTCCCTGCCAGATAGTGTCGTTTACGCCGTTTCCAAGTAGTACAGTCACAGTATTATCACCCGAGTTCGCGACAA